TCGGCGACGAGGATTATGATGAGACAGACGGTGATTTTGATGGCGGTGGCAACGATACCGCTGGCGATGATGATGAGATGATGGTGATGATGCTGCTGCTGATGATGATGATGATGATGATGGTGATGATGATGATGACAAGGACGATTGCTCTAGTACCGATGCTGAAGAAGTGCGCCCGCAGAAATTTGACGAGTGCGGCGGCATCGACGATGACGATGATGACGGCGGCGGTGATGATCACGATTGTGATGATGGAGATGATGACGCTGACGATGATGATAACGAGTGTGCTTATGAGGATGGTGAGGACGTGCCCGCCCGCAGGAATCCAGAACTCCCAGAACATCGTTGTTGGAAATCATTGGGGTGTCGCGTGTTTTTGAACACCGAAGAGTTGACATTGTTGGGGGACCAAGGGTTGTGCAAGGATGTCGACGTGTGCGCGCGGAGATGCGCGCGCGTGGTCCGCATGGCATTATTTGACAGACTTGGCGGGCGCGCGATTGTCGCGCGTGCGGCCTGCATGGGCTCACTTCACAGCATGGCTACAAACACCTATGGTGTTCTCTTCATTCCAGCCACTGTGAGCCCAGAATTCTAGCACTGTTGCTAAACAGCCAGACTGTTTTTTGTTTGGCTGTTTTTATATTCACACGTTTCGGATCGCTATTCTTTCGTGTTGTGGGGCAACCGATCGTACTTCAAATATTTGACATTCGCGCTCGCGCGCGGCGGTGCGTGCGTGTGCCCCGCATCGTGCTTTCTGCAAGATGTGATTCGAAAGACACATCTTATATCAACGCATGTGCACCGCATGCTCGCATCAGTCAGGCATGAAGGGAGGTGGATACTGGTACCAACTGGCATGCAAGCATGTCCATATTTAAGATGAACGGCTATGAGACATACAAGAAATCACAATGCACAGATGGGGGCGCTTAACTCCGACCGCGGTGAGGGAGTAGGGGCAAATTCCTAATACGAGAAAGGAATTCGCCGTGGGCATCTTCGCGCGACCACCTCCTATCCTCAAGCAAACATCCCACCCGCACACCTGCAATTTACAAGAGGCGGTGGGTTCAATCACCCATCATACCTTGCTCGCAAACCTCAGGGGAGTGGGCAATCACGCGGACCCCTTTGAGACCTCGCGGATCCCTGGGGGGCTGCGAAGTGCGCAACTGTCCCCACTTTCGTGGGCTCTTGGGACATCCAGCGGGGTGGGCAATCACGCGGACCCCTTTGAGACCTCGTGATCTCTGGGGAGCTGCGAACTGCACAACTGCCCCACTTTCGTGGGCTCCTGGGAGGTCCAACGGAGTGGGTCGTCACGCGGACCCCTTTGAGACCAGACGGCTCTCTGGGGAGCTGCGAACTGCGCAACTGTCGCCATTTTCGTGGGCTCCTGGGAGGTCCAGCAGAGTGGGTCGTCACGCAGACCCCCTTGAGACCTTGCGGCTCCCAGGGGGGCTGCGAACTGCGCAGCTGTCGCCACTTTTCGTGTGCTCCTGTGAGGTCCAGCGGTGTGGGTAGTCCTCGCAACGTGCTCTCGCGCGGAGAAGGTGTTGGATACGTCTCGGGTAAATTGCAACACTATTGGGCTTCGTGCAGTTGTGGGTACAATTATGCTGAACTTCTTAGCAAGACAAGCTTGACTTCGCAATGCCTTCGACGTGGGTGCAGAGACGCACGCGTGTGGCCCGCATTGAATTATTTGACAGAGTTGGCGGGCGCGCGTTGGTTGTTCAACGTTTTCGACCTGCGCGCGTGTGTGCAACCTGCACGGTCTCGTTTGACAGAGTGGCATCGGTGGCTATCTCGTGAGTTCAGCGAGTGCGAGCGCAGAAGTCAAGCAATTATTGTTTGAAGATCACTTGGTTTAATCGTTTTTGAGAAGCCATGTCTTATTTTTTCCCAACCATCCTGTGGTGTTGGGTCCTCGTTTTGAAGAGACAGCGCCCCGCGTCTCCTCTCCTCTCCTCTCCTCTCCTCCTCCTCCTCTCCCCCCTCCTCCCATCGCCGTCATCATACTCATCGTCATCATCATCACCATCCTCATCTTCATCATCATCCTCGTCATCATCACCACCAGCATCATCATCGTCATCATCATCGCCATCGCCATCAGTTCCCAACCATCCTGTCATCATCATCATCATCATCATCACCACCATCATCATCGTCGTCATCATCATCATCATCATGATGGTGTCCGTTTCGACCCACCCCTGGAATGTTTTGCTGAGGAGGCGAGAAGTACAATAAAATTGCTTCAAGGCTTGCTAAACTCAGTTTGCCGCCGAGCTCTGGCTCGGCGGGGGACGGTGGGGGGGTCGCGATAATCTGTGCCAGATTGGAGCCATATGGTACGGTTGCGGAGCAGGCCGTGCCGCACACGCGAGGGCAGGGGGGCCTTCACGGGCAACCAAAACACAACCTACCGAGCCCACCCGTTTTGGAGGGCCGAGGGGAGCCAGGCCGGGAACGAGGCCCACCGGCGAAAAGGCCCCCCAACAAGCTGGCACGCCCCTGCGGGCTCCGAGGCTCCAAGGAAAATTCCACGATCCCACCCCAAACTGTCGGTGCACATCAACACTCATGCTCTACGATTATTATCCCATGATGGTGTCCGTTTCGACCCACCCCTGGAATGTTTTGCTGAGGAGGCGAGAAGTACAATAAAATTGCTTCAAGGCTTGCTAAACTCAGTTTGCCGCCGAGCTCTTCCCACCTCCGCTTGCGAGCTGTATGTGTCTCAACAGCTTGGTCCTTCACCCGGGGCACAAAATGTGCTCGGACCTTGATGAGTTGAGAAGGAACCTGGAACACAATCAAAATTGAAAGCAAGCCCCCCCGGCCCGCCCTCGCAGTGTGCACCAGAAAACTCCTAAATCTTCGGTGACCACCCTAGACTCCGAACAAAACGAGCTGCAACACACTCTTAACTGCCATATATACAGCACGAAGTAGCCTACGGGCAATGTTGATCCAGGCACCTGGGAGCCTGGCAACTTGAATTTCACGATCAGTCATGGACATGTAGCGTATCTCGGGCAGTGGGAGCCCCTCCAGGGTGGAGTTTATGTGCGCCACGACTGTATCTCGCTCTGAGCTGAGGTCGCAGTCGAGGCTGCTCCAGACTGGGTTGCTCCACTGAACCTTGAAGTTTGCGATCCGCTCGACCATGTGGACTCCGTAGAACCCGGACGGCAGCAGGTGAAGTGTCATGTGCAGCTCGCGGTATTGACTTGGCCAGATCATCATCTGCCATCTCTCTGACATGTGAGGTATGTTCACCGAAGCTTCAGAGATCGCGGTGGTGACCTGCTCGGCTCCTGGCGGGCGAGGCTCGCCTGTCAGGAACTCGCGCTCGATCCAGGCTTGCAGGATCTCGGGGTCGTCCGCTAGCCGCTCGGCGTGGCGCTGGCGGACGTGCAGGTTGGTAATGTCGACCCCCCGCCAGGCTTCCTGCAGGAGGCTCGCCGAGCTGCGGGACGACGTCACGGCGAAGTCGGACACGCCCTGTGCTGCTGTGATGACTGCCCCGAGGCTGCTGTCGACCACCTTGCCAGCCGAGACTGATACGCTGGCCACGACACCCATCATGGTCCCGAGGTGGGTGAGCGGCCCGGCCATGTAGCTCCACCCGATCAGCATCGCGGCGACCGCCGCCCACGTCACTCCTCGAGTAGTCGAGCGTCCGCACCACCTTGCGATGAGCCAGGCCGCGCGCAACAGCGACCAGCTGCTCCAGCGCGCGCGCCTTTGCCCCGCGGCCGCGCCCGCTGCCAGCGGCTGCGCCACCAGCGGCTGCGGGGGCCTCAGTGCCGCCACGCCTGGGGCCGCCGGCGCTGGCGCCTCGGCCTCGGCCGCGCCCGCGCCCGCTGCTGCATCCCCCGGCTGCTGCGGACCCGCCAGCAGCCCATCCACCAGGGCGCCCAGTGCTGGCGCAGGCGGCTGGGCTGGGGCCCGCGGTGCTGGCGAGGCCACCCGGCGGCCCCCCGCCAGCGGCGCTGGAGGGACTCCCTCTGTCGGCAGCACCCAGGCGCCGTCCTGGCCCTTGCGCCAACCCGCTGGCGGCATGCTGGAGGCCCTCCCCCTCGCCGAAGATGCCCTCCGGGAAGTAGTGGGGCAGCTTCTCGGCCGCCTCGCGGATGAGCGGTGCGATTCCTCGCTGCTCAGCCTGCGCCAGGACCCGGGAGGCGGTGACGACGTCCACGTAGATGCGGAGGCTGGACTCGGTGAGCCACCGTCCTGCCTCCTTGATGTCCTGGAAGGGGGCACCACGAGCCACGGAATCGCTGGCGAAACCTGCGCGCGCCGAGTGTGGCGTCCAGTGAATGTCGAGGCCCAGGGCTGCTTCAAACTGCTTGAGCCGATGTCTGTAGTCGACAAGCGAGTAAGGAAAGAGGAGCCCCTCGGGCGGCGTTCCCAAGACTACTCGGTGCAAGAGGTTCTCCAGTACTCCGCCCTGCTCCAGAATAATGGCGAACTGCATCCTTTTGGCCTTTGTCCCCGACTTGGCTCCCAAGTTGATAACCCAATTTGGCTGCAAATCAGGTCCCCCTCTCGACGATGGCAATGATATGTCTTTTGCTCTGAGCTGAAGCATCTCCGACGGGCGCAGGCCGCGGTCCACCTGTAGTAGCAAGCCTACCCCCAGCCGCGGCACGCCCCAGCAGGAGAAATAGATAGCGGCCAGGTTGGCCGGCGCGCGGCCGAGCGGCGGCGCGTGCTTCACCTCGGCCGACACTCGCCATGCGTCAATCACCGAGTGGGACCAAGTCAGCTTCCTCCTCAGGCGTGGGAAGACAAACTCCACTGCCGCGACAGCGTACTCGAAATTGCACTTGGTCATCTGCATGTCGTTCTTGTATTCGACCAGCAGGTCGTCCCACTGCTCGGGCCCGTCGGGGACAAAACCGTGCTCGTCCAGGTAGGTCACGAACTTCATAGCCGCCGCCCTGTAAACTGCCAGGGTGTGCGGCTTTACCTTCTCAACAGAAGTGCTGTCCAGCTTCCTCGGCCCCGACATGAGGTAGGCCGCGGAGCTCAGCACAAGTCAGGCACCTCGATATCTTATCAGCAGGCTGCCTGAGCGTCTCCACCCATGGAATCAGAATCTTCGTGCGAGATGCCATCCCTGCTGCGGTCTTCTGACGCAACAGGTGGTTCAACATGTGCGCCGGGGACCTCCCCTTGCATGCCGCACCCGAGACTGGCTGGTTGTCCTCCAGGATCGGCAGCACGGTGCGGTGTAGAGCCGGAGTGGCGGCCGCCAGTCTGCTGATCTTCACGACGCAGCGCCCCTCGCCCAGCGTGATGTGGTCGGCCGCCCGCCACCTCCCCGCTCCTACGATCGTCCAGTCCTCGTCGGGCTTGAACACTCGGTCGGGGAGGAGGCTGAAGGGCTTCGTCCGACGGATGACCTGCTCGGGACGCCGCAATCCAGTAAGCTCGCCGTCCAGTCGCGCCACGGTGTAGCCCAAGTTGCCGCCCGTGTCGATGAAGTCCTTCGCGATGTCCTCGCTCATGTCTGTCACCAGGATGCCCCAACCGCCGTCGTCCTCCACGTTGGCGCCCATGGCGTCCGCCGCGAAATACACGGGGGCTGGCGGGGCTCCCAGGTCGGCGTACATCAGTGGGACTACTCGAGCCATAGCCCGCAGCTCCCTGCGGACGGTGGCCCAGGTGCACACCCTCTGGTGCGGGTGCCTCTCCAGGAGCCTGAAGACGGCGCTGGGTATGCAGAGCAGCTCCCTCCGAAGTAGTGCGCCCCAGATCCACGCCCCCAAGAGCGACCGAAGCTCCTCGGTGTGGAGGGGGCGGGTGGAGCCCATCGCCTCCAGCTGCTGCGCCAGCTCTCGTGCCCTCTTCGGGGGCAAGCGTAGCTGCGCCGGACGCGCCTGTGGTGCGTAGCCCAGCACCTTCTGCATGTCGCTGGCCTCCGTGCGGTCGGTGACCACGAAGCCGGCCTCGGCCAGGGCATCCGCCAGCTGGTGCATCTTCCCAGAGGCCCGTGGGCCACAGCCGCTGCCACCGGCCATCACCACCCCGTCGTCGACGTGCAGGTAGAAGGCCATCTGCGGCCCGTCCAGCACCAGCCCCCGACCGCGAAACACATCCTCGTTCCGCACGGCTACCGCTGGCGTCGTAGTGCTCCGCGAGCTCCAGGCGGTGACCGACCTGTCGGCCTCCGGCGGCCTTCGCCACCCGGTGCCGCCCAAGCCGGTCTGCTCGAAGATGGCCAGGGTCTGAACTATCAAGGTGCCCAGCGTTTCGCACATCCCCTCGGGGTACTGGGCCAGCGGGCTCGTGCGGAAGGTGCCGTCGGCCAGCTTGCCCTCGGCCGTCTCGTGGGCATGGGGCCCGTCACGCCGCAGCTCGTTCAGGTCCTCCAGCCCCTGCAGCGTGCCGCTCAGACACGTGGGCTTCTTCGTCCGTCCGCCCAGCATGCATTGGTCCAAGCACGCTCTCCGCGACGAGCGCCTCGTCTCGAAATCCAGCATCTCAGTCGTGTTCCAGATGGATGGGTAGGGCGCATGCCCTGGGTCCTCCGGGTGCTCGATGAGGAAGGCGCCGCCGCTCTGGCCGCGCGCCTCGCAGAGCGCCAACAAGTTCAGCGTCAAGGTGTTACTCTCCGCGACTCTGGCGGCCTCCCAGTCCCTGAGGCCTGGCAGCCCCCAGGGGCACCGCCGCGATCGCGCCGGCGGCGGCCCAGGTCGGCGACGATTGTAGCGTGCCCGCGACCAGGTTGAACAGGGCGGACCGCCCAGTACGATGTCCACCCAGCCGCCCTCGCACAGCTCCATCAAGGCGGAGAACGTGGAGGGGTTGGCCAGGTCCCACCGCGGGTCGTCCAGGAGATCGGCGGAAAGGAAGAGCACCCTCAAGCTCCGCTCCTTCGCCAGCCTCTCTCCCACCTCCTGCGCGTCACCACGCCGCCGACGGCCAGCGAAGAGATGCATCGCCACCGTCACGCGCTCGTCATCCCTCTTCGCCCGCCTCACTGTTTCCAGCCACTCCGCCACGCTGTAGCCCCTCGGGCTAGGCGGCGCAGCCCGGCAGCTGCGCTGCTGCCCTAGCCAGTCGTCGTCGTAGCGGTGCTGCTGAGTGTCCTCAGGCTCGGCATCCCCGCGGCTGCCAGCCTCCAGCCCCCCGTCCTCGAGCGGCGAGGTGCGTGGCGCACAGCAGGCCGCGCCGTCGGCGGGAGCCGCGGCGCCCGCGAGCGCCCCCAAGCGTGCGCCCACGCCCAGCAGCGCCCTGCCGATGATCGCCATGTTGACCGTCATGAGCAGGTGCACGGAGTGCGAGCCGCCCATGGCCAGGCGATGGTAGCAGGGGGCTACCCAGCCCGTCGGCCCCACCCTGTCGCGCAGACGCTGGCTGAGCTTACCCCGCACCCAGCAGGCGCGAATCGGCGGGCATGCCTGCCACCTGGCCATCCAAGCGGGGACGCGGAGGCGGGTGAAGGCGTTGTCCTCGTCGAACGCAGCCACTCCCCACTCGTCCGTCGGGACGCACATGGAGGCGATGGCCGCCCCGCCGTGCATCCCGTGGTCGCCGCGCTGGTGAGGGTCCGCCCACGCGTAGTTGCTGGCACACATCATCAGGACCTTCCGCTGCTTGGCGGGGTCCTTCTTGGGTACACAACTAAACCCGCAATAGGCCTGGACATCGTTGGGGTCCTCGAACGTCCACATGTCCTTCGGCAGATCGGCCCGCATCAGGTAGCGGGCGTACTCGGACGTCGAGCCCCCCACGAAAGCGAAGCGTTCCTCCAGCTCCTCGAAGAGAACCCCTGACTTGCCGCTGTAGTCCAGGACGTTCTGCTCGTCCGAATAGTACTGGCGCTCGCCGTCGGGCAGCGCCTCCAGCAGGTCCACGACCATGTCGTCCGGAGGTTCTACCACCGCCGCTGCGCACATCATCACGTGCTTGCTCACACCCTTGCGCTCTCCAGTGTAGGCGTCCTGCGGTCCTCTGTCGCAGGCAGGATCCGTCCCTTGACCGCCTGTCGGGGCAAGCCCCCGGCAGTCGCGCTCGTACCGCGCTGCGTCCTGTAACGCATACTGCTGCACGAGCTGCCAGGCCAGCATCATCTCGTTATCGCTCGTCTCGCGCTGGCCCGTTGGTCTCGCCTCCAGGGATCCGCGGTCCATCCCGTTCATGAGCTCGATGAGCCCACAGGCCCGACGCCGCACACGCATGCGTCGTGCCCATCGCGTCCTCAACCTGCCTGAAGAGGAAGCTCCTTGTTGTGGCCGATGAGGTAGAGGTATGGGAAAGAACGACCTGGCCTCGGCCTCCTTCCACTGCAGGGCCCGCGTCAGCGAGCCTGACAGACCCGTCACTGGCATTCTAGGCTGCACCCGCGGCGGCGGGGCACCTGCTCGGACCGAGGGAGGGTCGTGAGCCCCTCGGTCCGCCAGTGACCGTCAGGCCTGGGGTTTGCCCCGGCCCGAGGGTTTCCCCCCTCGGCCGCGGCCGCGCCCCCCGCCATCGCCACCTCGGCCTCGGCCGCTGCTGGCTACCTCGCTGCCTCCCGCCGCTCCACCGCCTTGGCCCCCGCCACGGCCGCCGCCTCGACCGTCGTGCTTGATGGCGGCATGGGCCCTCTCGTCGCGCTGGTGCTCCGCCTGGCTGTGGGTCGTGGCCTCGGTCACCAGCCATGTCGGAGCCAAGTCGGCGGCTGACCCGGGCGGGCGGACAGCCAACATGGCCGCCCCCCCAACCTTGTCCTTCGTCCGCATCTCGTAGACGTAGCTAGCCAGCCGCCTCAGGTGCAGCTCCAGCGCATCGTCGGACGCCAAACGGGTGAGCAGCTCGGACTGGTTCGCGCACCCGCCCAACAAGTAGTCCACGTTGGTGGCGGCAGTCCACAGGTCGGTCCAGACCGCCGTGTGTCGCTGGCCCGTCACCTCCTGCGACAGCCAGTCCCGCGCGCTGGCCGCCCCCGCGCCCCGCATGGTGCGGTAGATCTCCGGCGCCGCGCGCCGCAGCTCCGGCGGGAGGCTCAGGTTCCATCGGCTGTCCTCCTGATGCTGCTGGGTCTGCGGGGCCACGGCCCACCCAGGGGAGGCGTGCATGCCCCCGCCGTGAGGCGCCGTAGGGGAGGCGAGCAGCGCGTCCAGCTCCTGCTGCAACGACTCTCCTGGCGGGGACGTCGTCCCCGCTCCCACGTAGCCGTGAGTCTGCAGCACTCGTCGTAGGTCAGGGTGCAGCCCCCTGGAGCCATCCACGGCCGCGATCCTCTCCCAGAAGTGCCAGGCCCAGTCCTCGTTGATGGCCGCCTGCGCCTGGAACTCGCGCAGCGTGGCGCCCACTATCTCCACCTCCCGTCCTAGCTTCACCGCATCTGCAGGAGAGTGGGGCACGTGGAAGCTGAGCCCCGATGCTGGGACGGCCACCTCTGGTGTCGGCTGTGGCTGCTGCTGCTGCTGCTGCTGCTGCTGCTGCATGGCCGCGGTCTGGCTGAAGGGGCCCGGCACCTCGCACCCCTGGGCGAACGCCCGCAGCGCCGACAGGTCCTGCGCGCCAGGCTTCGCCGCAGCGGTACCCGCGCCAGCGCCCTCGGCGGGTGGAGCCCACGGCGGAGGCGGCAGTGCTGCAAGCCCCGGCGGGTGCAGCGGGCCCGCAGGTACCTCCGCGGCCTCGGCGGCGGTCCGGTCCAGGCCGTCCCCGCCGCGCCTCCGCGCCGCGGCGAAGGCCGAACGCCGCCGACAGCGTGTCCACCAGGCGACCACCCGCTCGGGCACCCGCCGTACCAGCAGGAAGGTCCCGACCAGCCCCACAGCCCCGCCTGCCAGGCGGTGTCGCACTGAATCGGCCCCCAGCACCACCGCCAGGCTCGACAGGAGGAGACCTATGCCAAGGTGCAGCACCCAGTCGACGGGCAGCGAGTTCCCGTCGGCCCCCACCGCTCGGGCCCAGATCCGATCCGCGATCGTCTCCCAGCCATCGGCGTCGGCCGCCACTCGTCTGATCCGACCCTCCGTCTGCGTGGCGACAGTGGCGGCCTCTGTGAACCCCCAGAGGGCCTCGGCCATCTCGGAGCCTGGCACCTCGGGGTTCCCCGACGCCAGGCGGACGGCCACCGGGTCCAGCGCCGCCTCCAGGCGCCGTGCCTCGTCCCGCTTGGAACGGGGGGCTCGCCCTGCGCTCAGCGTCGACCTCACCTTCAGGACGAGCTCGGCGACGTCGTCGTCTGTGACGTCGGCACCCCCGCCCCGCAGCGCCTCGGCCCCCGCCTTCTTGGCGTCTGCAGACACGGCCATCCAGCTCTGCCTGGCGTCCGCCGCGCCGCAGGCCCACAGCGCCCAGCACACCAGCTCGCCGCGGCCTGCTGCTCCTGGGCCGCTCGCCGCGGCCTCGCACAATCTTCGATTCCACGGGTGGAGCCGCTGCTCCCGTCAGGGCGCCATGCCGCGCCCTGCTGCGAGGTGGGCTGGGCGCCCAGCCCTCGCGATAATCTGTACCAGATTGGAGCCATATGGTACGGTTGCGGAGCAGGCCGTGCCGCACACGCGAGGGCAGGGGGGCCTTCACGGGCAACCAAAACACAACCTACCGAGCCCACCCGTTTTGGAGGGCCGAGGGGAGCCAGGCCGGGAACGAGGCCCACCGGCGAAAAGGCCCCCCAACAAGCTGGCACGCCCCTGCGGGCTCCGAGGCTCCGAGGAAAATTCCACGATCCCACCCCAAACTGTCGGTGCACATCAACACTCATGCTCTACGATTATTATCCCATCATCATCATCATCATCATCATCATCATCATCATCATCATCATCATCATCATCATCATCATCATCGCCATCGCCATTCGTTCCCATTTCCGCACACCCCTCACACGTTTCGTGGCCCCATAGGGAGCTCCACCGAAGGCCCCAGTGGCAGGGTTCGCATGCCGCCCCCACCCCACTTTGGCACACCCCTCACACGTTTCGTGGCCCCATAGGTAGCTCCACCGAAGGCCCCAGTGGCAGGGTTCGCATGCCGCCCCACCCCACTTTGGCACACCCCTCACACGTTTCGTGGCCCCATAGGTAGCTCCACCGAAGGCCCCAGTGGCAAGGTTCGCATGCCGCCCCCACCTCACTTTGGCACACCCCTCACACGTTTCGTGGCCCCACAGGGAGCTCCACCGACGGCCCCAGTGGTTCGCATGCCGCCCCCACCCCACTTTGGCACACCCCTCACGCATTTCGTGGCCCCATAGGTAGCTCCACCGAAGGCCCCAGTGGCAGGGTTCGCATGCCGCCCCCACCTCACTTTGGCACACCCCTCACGCGTTTCGTGGCCCCATAGGTAGCTCCACCGAAGGCCCCAGTGGCAGGGTTCGCATGCCGCCCCGCCCCACTTTGGCACACCCCTCACACGTTTCGTGGCCTCATAGGGAGCTCCACCGAAGGCCCCAGTGGCAGGGTTCGCATCTCACTTTGGCACACCCCTCACACGTTTCGTGGCCCCATAGGGAGCTCCACCGACGGCCCCAGTGGCAGGGTTCGCATGCCGCCCCCACCCCACTTTGGCACACCCCTCACGCATTTCGTGGCCCCATAGGGTGCTCTACCGAAGGCCCCCGTGGCAGGGTTCGCATGCCGCCCCCACCCACTTTTGCACACCCCTCACACGTTTCGTGGCCCCATTGGGAGTTCCACCGACGGCCCCAGTGGCAGGGTTCGCATGCGTCCGCGCCACCCATGTCGACACACCCTTGACACGTTTCGTGGCCCCATAATGAGCTCCACCGAAGGCCCCAGTGGCAGAGTTGGCATGCCGCCCCTCGCCCATTTCGGCCCACCCCTCACACGTTTCGTGGCCCCATAGGGAGCTCCACCGAAGGGGCCCCAGTGGTTGCGTTCGCATGCGTCCCCACCACCCATTTCGGCACACCCCTCATACGTTTCGTGGCCCCATAGGGAGCTCCACCGAAGGCCCCAGTGGCTCCCCACCACCCATTTCGGCACACCCCTCACACGTTTCGTGGCCCCATAGGGAGCTCCACCGAAGGCCCCAGTGGCTGCGTTCGCATGCCTCCCCACCACCCATTTCGGCACACCCCTCACACGTTTCGTGGCCCCATAGGGAGCTCCACCGAAGGCCCCAGTGGCAGGGTCCGCATGCCTCCCCACCACCCATTTCGGCACACCCTTCACACGTTTCGTGGCCCCATAGGGAGCTCCACCGAAGGCCCCAGTGGCGCGGTGCCTATGAGAAGAGGGGCCTAGTTTGCGTGCCCCCTCCTTCGTCTCATATCCGCGCGGTACTCGCAGCTGCATATGGTTGGGTCCTTCGCCAGGCTAATTCGAACACCTACGCGGTTGTGAAATGATTTTGACACGCGCGCGCGGCGGCGCGCGCAGGTGCCCTACAACATGTTTTTTTTTTTTCGCAAAAGGTTCTTAGATCAAACGATTATTTGATCAACGCACGTGCCCCGCATAACATGATTCGAAACATATTGAGCGTGGCGGGTCGATACTGGGACTGCTGACCTGCTATTTGCTAGTATTTAAAATGAAAGATCGTGCGCAAAAACAACCAACTATAATGCGCGGAGAGATGAAATTAAGTACGGCCTCGTGGCGCCATATCCGCCACCGTGCCCTTGAGGCACGGGTTGGAGTGTCCCCAGGTCCCTTGTTGGATCCCCTGGAGCCTCAGTCCTCAACCCTGATGATTCTTTAAAGCACAGAGCCCCAAGAACGCACTTTTCGAGTCCTCAGCCCCGAGAGGCCCTCAGGAGGCCCCACGATGCCACCAAGAGGCCCCAACGAGGCTCCAAGAGGCTGCCAAGAGGCCCCAACACCGTCCCCAAGAGGCCCCACAGCTGTCCCCCAAAGGCCCCCCAGAGCGCTCCGAAGAGACCCCAATAAGTATCCCTGAGGACTCTAACCCACAATCCAGGCACGGTGGCGGGATGGGCCGAAGGCCGTGAGATCCGCCGCCCCCTGTGGTCTTGCCACAAGGGTGCACGGCGTGCTGGATGTTTCAGGTTTTGGTTTTTGGTTCTTTTTCTAAAAGAACTCTCCAATGGGCTTCGGCCCGTCCCGCCGGCCACCCGCAAGTTTCCGAAAATCCATCTGTCAATGCCTTTGTTGCCCCAACTTGGCCCAAGATGGCCTCCAAGACGACCAAGATGGCCCAAGATGGCCTCCAAGATGCTTCCAAGACAGCCAAGATGGCCTCCAAAACGGGTAAGATGGCTCCAAGATGCACCCAAGACGGCCCAAGATGGCCTCAAGATGGTCTAAGACGGCCCAAAAGGCCCGCAAAAGGCCTCCAAGACGGCCCAAGAGCCCTCCAAGACGCCCTCCAGGAAGGCCCGAATAGGTTAAAATCATTGATTTTCCTTAGGTTTTTCAAGGATTTTGGCATGTTCTTCTTTTCAGCTCTCCGACGGCCCAAGACGGCCCAAGAGGTCCCCAACATCGCCCCAACAGCACCCAAGAGGCCTCCAAGATGGCCCCATGACGGCCCAAGAGGCCCCCAAGAAGGCCCCAAGAGGGCCTCAAGACGGCCCAAGAGGCCTCCAAGACGCCCAAGATGGCCTCCAAGACGGCCAAGATGGCCCAAGATGGCCTCCAAGATGCCTCCAAGACGGCCAAGATGGCCTCCAAGACGGGTAAGATGGCTCCAAGATGCACCCAAGACGGTCCAAGATGGCCTCAAGATGGTCTCAGACGGCCCAAAAGGCCGGCAAAAGGCCTCCAAGACGGCCCAAGAGCCCTCCAAGACGCCCTCCAGGAAGACCGATTCGGGGAACATATGGCCCAATAACTTGGCAGACCTCTGGCCACAGCAGTCGGCCGCATCGGCGCTTCCGAAAGGGCAGGGGGCGGCGGTGATTCGCCGTAGGCGTCTTCGATATTTGAGGTGCAATCTATGTGGTGCGATCGCTGCGATGCAAGCTATTTGGCGGAAGCCATTGGGTAATCTAGGTGGTCCGATATACCAGGAGCGAGCTATATGGTGCACTGTATGTGGTGCAATCCATCTTTGGAAATTGCAGTCGTGAGCTCCAACTCCAATTCTCGTGCCAACATCCCATCCTCCCACCAAGAACTTGTTGGCGAAACTCATCTGGCAATGATCTCAACGCGCTCACGGGTGAGTGGAAATCAACCGCGCAGACAAGTCCGTCTTGCAGGTCGCGAAGTTGTGGTGAAGATGGTGACGACCGCGACACCGACGACAATGGCGATGACAATTGTGATGACGCTGACGCCACTGGTGATGACAATGATGATGGGGGCGACCCGGGCCCGACGACGACGACGGCGACTGAACTGATGGTGATGATAATGGCGGGGGCAAGGATGACGCTGGCGATGATGGTGACCATGGTGCTGGTGATGATGAGGAGATGCCCGCGCGCAGAAATTTGACGAGGGCGGCGACATCGACGACGCCGACGATGATGACAACGGCGGTGATAATGATGACGATAATGATGATGATAATGATGATGATAATGATGATGGCGGCACCGGAACACTGACGATCTCGCTAACGATTGTGCTGATGAAGATGATACGGAAATGCGTGCTCGCAGAAATTCAGAAACCTGGGCATATTCTTACTGAGACCCATTTGGGTTGCGTATATCTTTCAACATCTCGATGCTGCAATGGTTGCAACCCCACTCTAGTTTTGAAATGAGCTCGACGTGCGCGCACGGAGGCGCGCACGCGTGGCCCGCATAGTATTACTTGGCAGAGCTGGCGGGCGCGCGACGGTGGTTGAACGCTTTCGACATGCGCGCGCGAGAGGGCCTACGTGGTCTCATTGAAAACGCTGGCTAACAAAAACCGATGGTTATCTCATGAACTCAGCGACCGCGCGCGCATAGCAACTTTTTGATCGACGAGTAAAATGTAGTTATTGAACACCTGTGTCTTGACCTGGTTCGAAGGCCAATGGTTTTTGAATGATTCTGACACCCGCGCGCGGCGGCGCGCGTATGTGGCCGCAAGGTGTTCTTTGCTCTCCAGAACTTCTCAGGCACATGCAGTTCCTGGATAAAGCCTAACATGATCTGCAAGAGATGGCGGGGGGTGGAGTCGATGCTGGTCTGGCTTGGATGCTATTAACTCTGAGTTCACCTTTCTGAAACAGCAGACTCCACCACCCTCTCCTGCCCAAAGTTCGCCCCCCTCCCCCCCACCACCCCCAGGGGTATTGCAATTTACATCTGGTTCGTGATTCGGCATCGTCGCCCATTTTGCATATCATACTTTCCCTCTCACGCCAATGGCGACCCCCCCGCCATCTCCTGCAAGAAGTAGGATGCGGTGTACATGCGGTGATCTAAGACATGCGTTTGCGGATAATTTCTTGCAAACAACACATTTTTGGGCAAATGCGCGCGCCGCACCATGCGGGCCACTTGTGGGCGCATGTCGAAAACGTTCAACCACCATCGCGCGTCCACCAACTGTGTCAAATCATGGCATGCGGGCCGCACGCGTGCGTCCGCCCCGAGCG